CACTCAATTTTTCTCCACTGTTCAGAAAATACTTGATTGATTAACAGTGGGGAGGAAAAGCAGGCAAATTTGGTGCTACATGCAGTATCAGGTCATTAAGAGGAAAAGCCAACTCAACATCTTTCTCATACACGCACCACGTAAAAGCCACCGTGCCACGATGTAAAAGCTCTGAACTTCAGGTTGACCTTGGTTTTAAATCTCAAGTCTCACATGTAAGACTTGGTCAGAGCGATTGAATCCTATAAATCTCCATTTTCTGAAAATTAAATACCACTCACAGTGACTGCTGTGTGATTCTGAACATTATTGGGAATTTCAGGGATAACTTTCAGCGCAGAAGGAGTGAGCCAGTTTCTGTTCTTGGGAGAGAATTGGGGAGAATGGAGTAGTTAAGAGGAATGCAGCATAAGCGGATGCTCTAAAAGGACATGTGAAGGACGGGTCACAACTGGATGAGAGGGAAGGACAAATCCAGGAAGACTTCCTAGAGAAGGCGCCATCTGAGATGAGCCTGGAAGGATTAGTAGGATTTCAGTAGCCTGGGTACCCAAAAATTATCTTTAAAAACATAGACTCATCCTGGAAGAATTACCAGAGGATTAAACATCATGCTGAGTTCAATTAAAACTCAGCACTGAGGTGTGAAAGGAACTTCCTTAAGTTAGCAATTTCAGAACATTCCCTACTCTTGGTCATGTGAGCAGTGCCAAGAACCACTGCATCTGGGACAGGCTAGTGTGGGGCCCTTCCACGGACAGTCAGAAGGGCAGCCTGGAAGAAGGGTTTAGGGACTGACCTGGAGCGATGTGCCATGTGGATGTCCCCGTCAGGGGGTAGATATGGGGAAGCGCCACCCACGGGGTCTGAGGACTCGGCATACGGTGCTCTGGAACAGACTGCCGCACACCTAGGATGTCTGAGCACAGCAGAAACAGACTCATAGATGCAGAGAACACTCTGATGGTCTCCAGATGGGAGGGGTGTTGGGAGAATGGGTGTATGGGGTGAGGGGGTTAAGCAGTACAAACTGCCAGTTGTAGAGAGAGTCACAGGGACGTAAACTACAGCACAGAGAATGCAGTCAATGGCATTGCAGTAACTGTGTGTAGTGTCAGATGGGTACTGCACTTCTTGGGGTGATCACTGAAGAAGGTATACAAATGTCTAATCACTGTGCTGTACCCCTGAAACTAATATAATATTGTATGTCAACTGTAACTGGAAAATAAATTAATTTTTTAGAAAAAGTTCAGGGCAGAGGATGGAGGGGACCCACCAGGACCACAACACTGTGGGCACAGCCAGTCCTCATGCCAGCCAGAGCCCTGAATACAGGTAGTTTTTGGAACGGAGATATGTCTTTCACATCCTGCTCCCCCTCTCTCCAAAACCCAGATCTGAGTTACCGTAAAAGATGGGGGGTGGGGCGAGGGGTACGCAAAGGAGGAAGAGAAAGAGAAGGATATGGAAAGCAGTTAAAAAAAAAAAAAAAAAACCTCCTACAGAACTTGATAACCCGGAGTGCGTGGGGACTGGCGCCTGACGGCGTACAAAGCCAAAGGCAGGCCACGGGACGGGTCAACTTAAGACTTAATATTTGCCTTTCGCTAAGCAAACTAATAAATCCCCTCCAGTTTTAGCCACACAGAGCTCCCAGTTTTTATTTACTGGCCCGAACTGCAGGCGGGCTTGTTTCTTCGCCTCCCTGTCGGGCAGGGCAGATAGGAGGCCCCGCCCCCCCTGTCATCAGTCTGTCTGTCTGTTTGCGTTCTCCTTCAACAAACTCGTGTTCGGTGCAACTGACAAGGAGTGCAAACAGCTTTGAAGTATTCTTTGGTAATGGACTTCCCGGGACAGCCCTGTTTTTGGCTTGTGCAGCCGAAGGCGAAGGGAGAAAGAACTCCTTGTAACAGAACAGGCAGACGTCACTTGGGTCAGGCAAGGCTCGGAACTTGATCCATGGGAGGGGCCTTAGGGCGCCTGTCTCAAGACCAACCACCTCCCTTTCCACTCCCATTTTACAGATGAGAAAACTGAGACCCAGAGAAAAGGCTTGAGTGACTTACACATGACCTTGGAGCAAGCTGAAGCTAAGGTAGGATAAGAGTCAGGTTTCCAGACTCCTCTCTCTCCCTCTCCACTACCCCCTACCCAATTCAAGGATCTTCCAGACCTAGGCAGAGAGACAGGCTCCCTTTGCCTGATTTCTCTCCAACAACAGCCTGGCATGAAACAGGCTGTCCAAGGTCAGTGACCATTCCCAAGGTCACCTTTATGCCCTTTAAACCATATCCTCCTGAGCAGAGGGACTTAACTTCACCATTAGAACCTTCTGTCTGTCAATACACAGGTTTCCAGGGCCAATGGAAGAGGATAAAAGTCTTCTATGGGTCAGGTTTCAACACCATGGGCAAATCTCAGAGGGAAGCTTGAACAACATCCTGTGAAAAGGGGACAAGCACTACTTTGAGGCTAAGTTATCCTCAGAACAAATTGAAGCAAGATCAGTATGTCCAGCGTGTGGATGAAATAGTTTCTGTGTGTCATGGGCAACATCTAACACACTATTCTCATAGGGAACACAAAAATAGCAAACCTTTAAGCCACAGGTGGCAAACACAAGGCCCGCAGGCCAAATCCGACCCTCCACCTTGTTTCTACCTGAGGGCACCACCGAGCTCTCACTGAACTATTAAGGAATAGTTATATTTACACAGCCCTAAAATTACACTTGGCCCTTCGAAGGCAACTGCAAGGCTGATATGGCCCCCGGTGAAAATGAGTTTGACACCCCTGCTTTAAGCCATGAACTCTGTCAAATACGGCAGCTTTGTGGATGTCATGTAACCTGACTCCTTCCTTTTACATGGAAGGAACCAAGAGGAGGGACTTGGAGATAGAAACTCAGGTCTTGCTCACATGTCTGCTCACTCCGTTTTCTTATCAGCGTAAGACATACCACCTGGGTCTGAAAGGGAGAGACTGGTACGCGCGGGGGAGAGGGCAAGATGCATTTGGCTCAACGTTTCATTCATTCCCTGACATGCGTAGCTACTTGGAAGCGCGTGAATTGCTCTTTAAAATTCTACAGCTTCCCCACCAGGTTGAAGATCAGCAGCCTCTCACAGTCTTCTTGGGAACGTGCCTAAAAGGCTGCCTTCTCCAGGCGGGACGGCCCCTTGGCCCAGCACTGGAGAGGGGATGCTGCGTTATCGGAGGCAGATCTAGAAAAGGGCGATGCTGTAGACCACTTCCACCTCTGAGATTTGGGATTCTTTGCAGATGAGAAGAAAAAAGAGAGAAAGGAAAGATTGTTGTCGGAACAACAGCGGGACTTCTGGAACCAATGACTATCCACGGGGCACAAACAAAGGAAACATCTGAAATGAGGTCATCTTTTTAAAAGGAAAAATGGCACCTCGGGAGCCAGGCTAGCATTTCTCCGATGGCAGTGAGGGTCAGAACAGAGGCAGGGCCACGGGCGCACCAGTGTGGGGTGGGGAGGTCTCACACTTCGTCCATGAGTAATGTGAGAGAATATTTTGTCGATGTCTGCATGCTCATCCGTATCCTAGTGGCCGCACCATACAGGACGAGCCGGATGAGCTGAAGGCCCGCGTCCCAGCACTGCAGACACGCACGGCTGTCTTTCAGCACAAAGGAGGAAGGCCCGATCCCCTGGCAAGCAGCAACAACTCGGGATGGCATGAATCCCGAAAGCCTGGCTTTGACGAACCTGAAAAGAACCTGTAATTTGCCTTCAGGTTGTTCTTACTTGTCATGAACATCCAAAGCTGGGCTGGCCCGACCGTCCTCTCCTCCACCCCCATGCCAGCACTGCATCTGCTCCCTCTGCCCCGCCACGGCAGTGTCTGCAGAGGCAAGAATGAGCAGGGAGGTCCCATTCCTCACTCTCTGAGTTGAACTCAAAGGTCATCTAGGAGACTTTAGAAAGAAAGTACACACTTAGGCCCAATTTACATGTCCCTGATATTCTAAAGGCTCCTCAAGTTCAAAGGAATTTCAGGAAGTCCTCTAGCCAACTCCTTTGCTCTACAGACACCATCCCAAAGGTTTTAGCTCTTAGTCTCTGTCTAGTTAAGAGGCAGAATTTTCTTCTTGGCTCATTATTCTACATAGTACGTGCATGTACCACACACACACACACACACACACACACACACACCCATCCATAGTGCTCTTCTGAAGGAAATAGTCTCAGCTGGTTCTTTATACCCAGGTTGTCTTCAATATCATGCCACCCCTGCTGTTCTGGCAACAACTGATTCGGTAAAGACTGGTGGCTGACCCAATGGCTGCCCAGTGGTCAATGATGTGACCAGACACAAGGGCCCTAAATGGCGATTGGCCAAACCAATCACAAGTACCAGCTGGTTACAGAAGGTAAATTAGCAGCAGAGCTGGGATCATCGATCTCCCCAACAGCTGGTGACCAGCTGTTCTGGTTTAGCCCTGGGAGTCCCGCATCCCAGGAAAGCCTACAGTCCTGGGTACCCTCAGCTCATCGCCACAGGAGAAGTCCAGAACCAGGAGCAGGGGATCCTACTGCCGAGCAGATTAAGGTGGCCATTGTGGGACAGCTCTGCTCTCCCCGAACACCCTCGACAGCAGTGGGAACTCCTGAATGACTTGGGCTTCTTGGAAAGGTCTAGGAGGGCAGTTGCTGGGTAAACTGTGTCCTACTTCCCTGGAAACTGGCAAGAAACAGCATTTAGGGAGGTACGACAAAGTGGGTCTCTGTTCCTTGAAACCCAAAGGAATCTGACACAACCAACCTGCCTGCCTGTCAAGGAGGGGAAGTAAAACCCCACATACAAAGAAGCCTCACATGTCAGTCACAGGAAACCTTCTCCAGGGGCTCCCCTCTCCCGCTCTGCGGGAAACCTGAGATGCCAAGAAGACCCCACTGCTCCACTGAGAAGACACGGGGGCCTCGAAATGGTCACACAAACACGTCACCTACAACACAGAGAAAATACATATGTTTAGCTTTAATTCTTTTTTTACAAAAGCAAGCCATCCATTCACTTGGGAAGGTGGAAGAACAAGTGTGTTCGGCTCTGCATTTTGGACGAGGTTGAAGTGTGATGGATACCTGGGAAGTATTTTCATCCACGCGTGTGACGGTGACAGAGTAAATGAATGACACAAACAGGACTCGAGTTTCGTGGGGCCCAATCCATTGTCAGGTGTGTGAGTCATCAGCACATGCTGGAGGAAGTTTCCGCAATAAACGCCACTGGCCTGGTAGCTGGATGGTCTGGAATGAAGCCCCAAGTTCTGCTGTGGCCCCCAGCTGCCTCCTGAGAGAAGAGGGTCTTCACAGCAGACCCTGCCTCTGTGTCAACACAGCTGGAGTCAACAGCAGGGGTTGTCTGCTGCTCCTGCAGTTGTACTCCCACGTGTGATCCCAACCAAGGCAGCTGAACATGGAGCCAGCCTTCTCCATCTGGTTCCAATGCCGAAGTCCCCACCAACGTCCCCAAGAGCCTGAAGAACGTCTCTGCACTGATCACTGTCCCTCTGGAAACTGTGCAGCCAGATCCCAAACAGATGAGGAGGAATACTATTCCCAGCCTGGGCACAGAGCGACACTCGCACTTTGGAAGGAGCAGGAACCAAAAGCAAGATCCTGTTTGACCTCAGTGGAGTTCACTACTCATTTTGCATCTGCTAGAAGACAACGGAGCAAACAAGAATTGCTACACAGCTGACGTGGAGGTCGGGGGCAGAAAAGGGTGTGGTGAATGCCCCGGGGGTTCCTGGGGGCAGGGGCGGGCAGTCGTAGGAGCCAGCGGCAGTGGCAACGTTTTCCATAGGAAGGAAAAACAAGGTCTGGGAAACCAGCATCTTCTTCAACCACACGTCACTCCCAGCAATGCATCTCCCAGCCCACGCAGGTCATCACAGAGACTATGCCTCAATGTAAGGGTCTTGGCTTTCTCCTTATATGTCTTCTCAAATCCAGAACCTTCTTTATCCTCCAAAATAAGAATTCTCCACCCAATCCAGAGCTCTTGCCTCTTAAGAGATGGTCACATCTGAGTCACGTCGTTCAAGGGGGACCTGGCGGTACACCGTGGCTCCACGAAGCTTCCTGGTGGGAGGTGTGGGGAGGAAGGGCGGCCCTGTGCCAGTCCTCCTTTCTAGGCCTGTAGACCAAAACACAGCACAGGAGTGAGATTCTGGAGTCTGCTCGCCCAGCCGCTGTCTTTCAACAGTGGGCATCGCTTTCCTGACTTTAGTCCACAATATTCTAGCCACTGAAAAGGGCAGACACCACCGCTGAAAGCAGGGCTTTTGTTAAGGAAAAAAAAGGGGGACTGTTTATACATCACAAGCAGCTCCCTGCACGCTGAGTCATCACCATGCATGCTGAGTCTTCACACAAATCTCACCTTCACACACTACACCCACAGCTGATTAAAAAAACAAAAAACAAAAAACAACACTAATGCAGCCAGCCCCAAGGAAGTAGGAAATTCTGTTTTTCGGCATGTTGCCATTCTATTTCTATGAGATGGGCGGGGGCAGGGAGTGTAGAGGTATTAGAACACCCATTTTACTGAAGGGAAAACTGAGGCACAGAGGATGCCAATGTTCTCCGTATAGGAGGACAAGGGCCGGCTCCCCAATCCTAATGTTCATTTCAGCGGCCACCTCTCCCTGCTTTCACAAGTCCCTTAATAATTAATAGGAAATTATCCAGAGAGGATAAGGGTCCCTCAAAGGAAACGAGAAGACGTGGTTTAACACATTTCTGCACCCCTAATGCTGATGGCAAATAAGTGGAGATGGACTTGGAGTCATCCCTGTTTCCCAGCGTCCCACCACCTCTGAATTTCTAGTGACAAATATGTTTAGCACCGCCAAATACCCTCAGGCAACTTCCTCATTTTAAAATTGAAGAGGCCCAGCAATGCAGGCAAGGGGCGTATTCACAGACAGAGAGGGCTCACTGGGTCTCTGGCTCCAGCAATGACCATCAATCTACCAGGGATGCAAACGCCTGCCTGCATTCCCCCGGACCCCAGTGGATTAGATGCTGTGGATACAGACACAAACCAGACAGGAAAACTCCACCTCCTAGGCCCTAACGAGAGGTAACGCTGATCAGGCAGGAGGCCGGAAGGACAGCAACATCTCAGGGAAGTACAACTAAGGATTCTGGAGGCGGTCCGGGCCGACCAGCCCTGCTCTGTCTCTCTAGCCCTGTGCGGGTCACAGCTCAGCCTGGTGCCAGGCTGATCTCCCGCCCGTGGGGGTCGGCTAATCCCTGGCAGGGAAGTGTGCAGCTGCTGTGAGATCCAGCAAGAAGGGTGCTGTCAGAGATGAGCGAATGCCACAAGGAGGGCCTGGGAGGACTGAACAGGAAGATGATGCTTAAAGACATTTCTGTGCAGAACTTCAAAAGGACAGACAGTTTGCATATTAGAGTCACCTACCCAACAAAAGCCCGCCAAATTGCCCACATAGAGATGCTCTGGCGCTCCAGGCAGCTCTCTGATTGGTGGCCCAGAGGGACATCCTAAGTCTTCGCCCAGGTGTTGCCCGGGACTGCCAGATGCTCTCTTTTATTTGGACCCAAAACCACCGCAAACACCCCCTAAGTTCTGCTAACTTTCCTCTGATTTCCTTTCCCCTCCTGGGCAGCAGCCCTCTCTGCTGGCTCAGGTGGTCGGCCAGGAGAAGCCTTTCTTTCCCTGGGAGAGGCACACAGCTAGCAAATTAATTGGCAGAAGCCAGGTGAATCACACAGGGACTTCCTTCTTGTTGCTCAGCAACCGCATGCACTTGGCAGTAGGACATTAAACACAGAGGGGAGTGTTGGGAGGTACGTGAAAAATAAAATAAAAAGCAAAACATACAACACCCCAGACTCATCCCAGCATGGCCAATCCAGCCAAGGGGGGCTGGGATGGGGTGGAGATGAGGAGCAAAGGAAAATGAGGTTAAAACATCACCGGCCTAAGCAGAGCCTAACACCCCCCACCCCGCCACCCAAATTCCTCCAGGTATAGCATTTCTATTTGGCCAAAGACATGCCTCTGTTAGCCTCGAGAAAGGCAATGGGGGCACCTGGATTAACAGGCACCTGGAGTCTTGAAAGCTCACCTAGAAACACACAGCCCAGAGAGTTTATGAAGCTTGCTGAGGGGACATGGCTGCAGTTTATGTGTCCCCATGGGACACCACGGCCCAGGGTAAGCCGCTCTGCCACCTCGAGGGCAGGATCCCCTTCCCCCAATCCCTTTCCACTCCTTGAATGTTTTTGTGCTGGTTGCTATGGCCACTGGGAGCTGATTAGACAAGTCTCCCAACACACTGCTCTGCCCTTCAGACCCTGTCTCTGGCCTCTTTGAGAACTCCAGGGACATAAGTGGAATGCATGTGTGTTCCATGTTTGGAACAGCCCGGGAAGAAGAGCCGGGACAAGGGAAGGCAGGACAGTAGCAAGGGGGCTGTTGTGGTCGGCTGAGGGTTAGCCCCCAAAGATAACCATGCCCTAATCCCTGTGACCTTGAATGATACCTTCTGTAGCAAAAGGGGCTGAGCAGGTCTCAGGCTCTGGAGTTCCAGAGGTTATCCTGGGTTACCTGGGTGGGCCCCAGATATGATCACAAGAGTCTTTTTTTTTTTTAAAGATTTTATTTATTTATTTTTAGAGAGGGAAGGGAGGGGGGGAGAGAGAGAGAGAGAGAGAGAGAGAAACATCAATGTGTGGTTGCTGGGGGTTCTGGTCTGCAACCCAGGAATGTACCCTGGCTGGGAATCGAACCTGGGACACTTTGGTTCCCAGCCCGTGCTCAATCCACTGAGCTACGCCAGCCAGGGCTACAAGAGTCCTTTATAAGAGGGAGGCAGAGGGAGATCTGACCCAGGAGGGACCGGAGTGACCCAGGAGAGGAATCATGAGGCCAAGCGGGCAGGCAGACTCCAGAAGCTGAAAAAGGCAAGGAAATGGATTCTTCCCTGGAGAGCCCAGGAGCAACCAGCCTGTGGATACCTTGCTGTCAGCCCAGTGCCACTGGCCCCAGAGCTATAAAAGAATAAATATGTTGCTTTAAACCACTACATTTGTGGTACTTTTACAGCAGCCTCAGGAAACTAATCTTGTTCATGGCACACCGGGTCTGTTTCCCCATAGATCTGCAGACGAGGGTCTCACAGCCGGGATACGGGGAACAATGGGACGAAGCTGGTCAGAAGGGGCAGGGTCCAGAATTAGGCTTAAACGGTCTAACAGACACCCTATAGCCTCAGAAGGAAAAGGTCAGGTCTCTGAGAGCAACTGAGGCAAGAAGCAGCCCGGGCTTTGAAGCAGTTTTTATATCACATCATTTGTGACTCTAACTTAGGCCAGTGGCTTAATCACTGAAAGCTCCTGTTTCATCACCTGCAAAATAAAGATAATATTATCTGCCTTGCAAAGCTTTTAGGATTAAATGAGATACCACAGGAAAAGTGCCTACCCCATGGCAGAGGCCAAATAAATGGTGACTCTTAGGAGGATTCTCTTAGTTACTTACCCCAAGAGTGGTTCTCTCCTTTCTACTTAGAAACATAACGCTGAATTTTGGTTGGCACCCGGTGGCCCAGAGTAAGAAAGACTGTTTCTCCGTCTCCCACCATCTAGCTATGGCCATGTGACTAAGATCTGGCCACAAGAGATGGAAGCAAGGGTTGTGGGACTTCTGAGGAAGCTCTCCAAAACCTGTTGGAAAGAGTCTGATTGTTACCTATCTGCCTTTACCACCTTTTGCCTTCAGTGAGGACATGATGGCTGGTGCTCCAGCAGCCATGTTGAACTATGAGGGATGCCGACAATGGGAATGTTGCACCGAGACGATTTCATAGGAAGATGGAAGCCTGGGTCTCTAATAACTCCAGAACTGCCACCCCAGCCTTCGACACCCTTTCTCTGGATCTGTTCTATAGGAATATTCTTGTGTCTTAGTTAACATGGCACTATTATTTTAGAATTTGATAATAACCATAATAGATACAATATATCACAGATCTAGAAAAATAGGATCCTGAATCAAACTAGAGTAATGGTCCTCAAAGTGTAGCCCAGCTTCAGCAGCACCTGGGCACTTGTTAGAAAGAAATGCAAATTCTCAAGCCCCGCCCCAGACTTACTGAATCAAAAGCACTGGGAGTGGAGTCCCCCGGTTTGTGCTTTGACAAGCCCTCTGGGTGATCTTGTGCACGTGCAAGTCCAAGAACCACCATTCTAGAGCAAGGTTTCTCACCTCTGGCACTAGTGACATTTGGGGCCAGGTCATTCTTGGGGACAGAGGGGCTGTCCTGTGAACTGTAAGATGTTTAGCAATGCTGCTGGCCTGTGTCCACTCGATGCCAGTAGCGCCCCCTCTCAGTGTGGCCATCAGAAATGCTCAGACATTGGTACATGTCCGAGGTGGGAAGCGAGGCAGCCAAATCGTTCCCAGGTAAGAAACGTTGTCTCTGAGTAGTGGTTCATTTTTGACCTTGACTGCATATCAGGATCATTTGGGAAGTTTTTCAGAATTCGAAAGCTCAGGCCTTGCCCCAACCTGGTTAAATCAGAATCTACTAGGGCGGGGTGAGGCAGCAGTTAAAGCTTCCAGGCGGCTCCATGTGCGGCCAATGCTGAGAACCGTCGCACGTTGCCGCTGGCCCAGCAGAGAGCCTGCTGAGCGCTGGGGAAGGTGGTAGCTCACCCGAACGCTGACTCCGGGAGGACACAGATGCTCCCAAACAGAAACTGTAACGAGCCTGGCGGGGGCAGGTTTGGGAAGGAACGTCCCGCTGCCAGAAGGGGTGACTAGACGGGGTGGAATTCCTGGTGGCTGTGTCACCTCGCTGCCCATCAGAACAGGGTGGACACCTCTCAGTGTCTCCCGTGAAACACTACACAAAGCCTCAGTTTCCTCCCCTGATAAGCAGCGCACACAAGGAGCCAGCTCCCACGAGACGCTGTAAACATTAGCTCATTCACCCATAAGAACTGTCTTAATAAAGACTGTGATACGGCAGCGGGCCTGTTTAGAAATGGGAGCGTAAATTCTCCTTCCAATTGGTAAACTCCCCAGGCACTGAAACCAGAATCCTCCCACAAGGATGCACTGGAAGCAAAGAGAGACTTCCCATATATGAATAAGCTTGG